AGAAGATGGATTGAAGATAGAATTAAAAGATACAAAAATGAAAGAAAGATAAAAAATGAGTGGTAGTGAAGATATCACATGAATCGACCACCTCAGTGGTTATCTTAGGGTATAGGAAATTCTAGGTCTAGGCTGGATAGTGTGCTGTTATTTTCATGATTAGTTTACCAACCTGAACTTCAAACTCTAATCTCATATACATACGTATTTATAATCGTACTTGCACACACACACCTGCATACATACATACGTTCGTACACACACATATTCATACATACACACATATATACATGCGTACATAAATCCATACGTACACACATACATACATTCATACATACATACATAAATAGATACATACATACATATATACATACATACATACATACATACATACATACATACATACATACATACATACATACATACATACATACATACATACATACATACATGCATACATACATACATACATACATACACATATAAAAACATACATACGCACACAAACACATGTAGACCTCCAAATTCCCATTGGACTTTCTCTTTGACTTGAGGATAACACATCATGGGAACTTAGTTTAACTAGTGTATAATTATTTTTAAGACATTGCTATGAAATTATAAGACGTAAATTAAGAAATCTGTTGAAATAAAAAATAAAAAAACCTATATGTAACGGAAGAACAAATCTGGATTATTATGATTCTTATAGAAGGTTATCATTGCATAATATTCTATAGCACTAATCTGCTTTACATTATTAAAAAGGGGTCCTCGGAAAATAGGAAATTCACAAGTAGGATTCATCACTTCTCGTCGGTAATTTCTTAGGGGAAACCTTGTAGCAACCATCCTGTTGGCACACCTTCTAAGCCAAATAAATTCGAATAAATGTAAATAAATAAATAGACAAGCCAATTACATGATAATGATAATATATGCCACTGCTGCTACTACCACAACCACTAATGACGATAAAAAAGTAGTAATAATAATAATAATAATATTAATAATAATGATAATGATAATAGTAATAATAATGATTATAATGATAGTGGTAATAATAATGATAATAATAATAGTAATGATAATAATAACAATAATAATGATGATAATAATAGTGGTAATAATAATGATAATAATAATAATAATAACAATAATAATAATAATAATAATAATAATAATAACAATAACAATAATAATAATAATGATAATAATAAAATCGTCTTTGAATATAACCGTTAACGATAATAGTAATTATGATTAAAGAAAATAATATAACATCAGTTTTGTTTTTAAATACAATCATCTTTTGAAAATAAATGTTTAAACCATAGTTCAAATGTCAATGATCTGTAATCACAAACTGACAGGATGTCATGAATTCTGAAACTTTTTGTAATTGTGATAACACGCTACTGTCAACTCAATATCAGTTGACTATTAATATGATAAAACAATGAGAGAAGAAAAGCAACATCTTGAGAAAGAAAAAGGATAAGAAAGAGAGGAAAAAAATATAAACCAATTATATGAAATGGATGTCTCCTTCCCTAACTCTCACGGTCTTCGAAAACAGGTTATCCGCAAATTCTCTCTCCCATTTTCCAATTAGACCAAAAACTGGTATCAGTTTACCTATGCATCCATTTCCTGACTTATATCCACAGCGGAATACACTTAACGCTTTAAGTATGACCTTGTTTGGCTACAGAGACCACCCACCCTAAAAATAAAGAAGATTTAAATATTACTCATATATATATATATATATATATATATATATATATATATATATATATATATATATATATATATATATATACACATACATATATATGTATATATATATATATATATATATATATATATATATATATATATATATATATATATATATATATGATTAAATAAAGTCCAAAGTTTAATAAAGACATGTTTAAAGAATGGTTGATGTAGAAACACCCAGGAAATAAGATTTTTTTTTGTCAAAAATCTCTCTACCTAACTTTCTCTTTGGTTTTCATCTGTTTGTTTGTTTCTGTGTTTCACTCTGTGCCTTTCACACGCTTCATTCCCGCCTTTTTCACTACGCTTTTTATTACCTTTTTCGGTTTCTAAAGTGTTCTAGGTGTACCATGTCTTATTTAGTACGTATATTACGTATATTAGTATGTATGCTACTTTTGGTAAAACTGAAGCTCGTTTAACTGAAACATATGCTTGGAATATTAGTGAGGAGTTCAAGGCAATGGTAATTTTATTTGTTTTTTGTGCAAGCTACCAGGCGACTGTGCGTGAGATGTGATGTGCTGTGCTGTGTGGTAGTGTGAGGTAAGTTGTGGTGAGGTGTGATGTTATGTGGTATGTGGTAGTGTGAAGTAAGGTGTGGTGAGGTGTGATGTGATGTGGTGTTGTGTTCTGCTGTGTTGTGTTGTGTGGTGGTGTCATGTGTTGTCTTGTGCTGTGTTTTGTGTGTTGTGTAGTGTAGTGTAGTGTATAGATAGATGGGTTGGCGGACGTGATCAAGCGTACGTGCCTGGACGTGTGTCGCATTGTCAATAAGTAATATTTGCTTAGACTTTTTCCTGTTCAGTAGTCTATGTAGATCTTATGAGTGTGTATATAAATGCACATGTATTTGTGCGTGGATACATTTTCGTTCTATGCGCGTGTATTGTATAAGTGCGTGAATTTCTTTGTGTGCGAAAAAAAAAAAATCCTTGTGCAAGAATTATTTCGCCGAGTCATGGTGACTCTATGCTTGCTCGCTACCCCCCCCCCCCAACCCCCGTCCCGCAAAAAATATATATATAGATATTCAAAAATAATGCTAATTCAACAAAAACATATTTACAGTTTCATATGGTTTAATAGCACACACACACACTTCCCCATAAATCACTAACAGAAATCATTACTCAATCACAGAAACCCGAGTTAACATAGAACAAAAACCCAGTTCTTTCCGTCTAAGGAGGCTACATCATCATGACTTGGCATTTTTTTAAGCGTCTTTTATTTTGGCGTTTGCGTGCTTTTAATCATGGCAATTTTGGTGTGGTAAGTGTAAGTGTTAGTAATTAGGTTGATTATTGAAAAGATTAGGATGTTTTATTTATAGATTCGATAAACATTTTGTTAGAAGGTGGGTCTATATATATGTATATATATATAAGTATATATACACATATATACATATATACATATATATACATATATATACATATATATACATACATATAGATACATATATGTAAGTATATGATATATGTACATATGTATATATATGTATATATGTGTGTGTGTGTGTGTGTGTGTAACGTGTGTATAGATATATGCATATATACATATATATACATACACACACACACACACACACACACACACACACACACACACACACACACACACACACACACACATATATATATATATATATATATATATATATATATATATATATATATATATATAGGTATGTATGTGTGTGTGTGAGCTACACACATATATACATATATATATGTATACATATATCTATATACAAAGACACACACACGTACGCGCGCACACACACACACACACACACACACACACACACACACACACACACACACACACACACACACACACACACACACACACACACACACACATATATATACCTTTTGAGTGTGCATACTCTCACGTAGCTGCCTTTGGATACTTTTGACATCACTGCATCACTGATAAGGATTGTACAGTGGTATGCGTCACAGGCTATCCTAGGTTAATCAGTGTAGACTAATATATACAGTTCGTGATGCTTATGTACCCTTCCTGGCAAGCATACACATTCTCCTTAGCAGAAGTGCGTATCACCCAGTCTGGCGATATCTCGAGTTTTTATAAGTACGAAATAGAACTCTTTTTTAAGTGCCATTTCACTCACCACGAGTCTCCGAAAATGTAAACTTTACGTATTTACATATAATGGCTGCAGTACAGATACCTTTTTGCTAGTGGACTAGTTTGTAATGCAGTACTCATTTTTTCCGCGAATTACCTGTCACAAACACACCACCTGCCGCCACGCTGCATTATCGACTTCTCCCTCTCTCTCTTCGTCTTTACCGAGGACGTCTAACAGCCCTTGTCATCTCCGGTTCCTGAAGGACTTCCGCCCATCTTAGAGCGCTCAGAAATTTTGTTTTATTATTATAGGTTCTTAGGATCACGGTCTATATAGGTACTTATATAGACCTTTCTTAGGATACCCCTAAACAACGGACACTGTGCGTTAAGTTACCATGCATCTTCAGTATTATTATGATTTATCTAATTCCATTCACTGACAAAGATATGTAATCTTATAATATGTACCGTATCCTACATTTATTTTAAACGAGAATTGAAGAAATACGTGAGAGAGTGGCATTGGGAAGGTCAGCGTAGAGAGCGACGTGCGACTCTGCAATGTGAAAATGGAGAAGCGTCAGTTTTATTGGCCGGGTTGCAGGTTGTTGCAGGTTCGCTTGCAATTTCGTATATATCATATTCTCTTACTCAGTAGTCATATTAGATTACGTACTCTCCTGTACTTACCACCCCGCGATATGTATAAATATAAAACTCTTTACGACTTTTACGAAGAGCCTGGAACAGATTCCTGCTATTCTATTCCGGTACGAAAGTGTCCATTAAACATATCCCTC